CTCGGTTATTGCATAGAAGGTGTCCATAGGTAAGCATCTTCGCTCTTTGTCTCCCCAAAAAAGAGTCCTGTTCGATTTTTGTTTAGACCCAAAATGTGTCATAATTCATAAAAATGGAGCTAATTTTCATATAATTTGTAAAAAAAAATTACAAACAAGTTCACTATGTTAAATTCATTTAAACCCAATATTTTAGAGGTGTACCTTGACCAAACATGCCATTTTTTAGGTGTTGGAGAATGACTAAAGAGGGTGTTTATGTTGGTTTAAAGTGTTCTTGAGCTAGTTCTATAGTTCTTCCATATGATTGGCATTTATATGACACATCAGTACATCATGCTTTGATCATTCCTTGTTTTTGAGAGTAGTCATATGTTTGACTTTTTGAAGGATGCTCGTGTATGAGTATGTTAATAATGGAAACTTGGAGCAGTGGCTTCATGGAGGCATGAGACAACATGGTACCATTACTTGGGAAGCTCGCATGAAAGTTCTTCTTGGCACTGCTAAGGCGTAAGTTCCAATCTTTATTTTATCTCTATTTTAGTTCCTTAAAATTATCGCCAAAGATAAATTGGTCATTGCAATTTCAGACCTACAATAGAGGACAATATGTTTCTTGCAGGCTTGCATATCTACACGAGGCTATAGAACCTAAAGTTGTTCATAGGGACATAAAATCCAGCAATATTCTTATTGATGACAACTTTAACTCCAAGGTTTCCGATTTTGGACTTGCAAAGCTCTTGGACTCTGGAGAAAGTCACATAACAACAAGAGTAATGGGAACATTTGGGTATGTTTCTTTTTCTCTCTTTTCTTTTCTGTTTTTGTTAAATACTAAATTTAGTTTCTCGATTGGGTTTTTTTCCAGCTATGTGGCTCCAGAATACGCAAATACTGGGATGTTGAATGAAAAGAGTGACATTTACAGTTTTGGTGTATTACTTCTTGAAGCTGTTACCGGAAGAGACCCGGTGGACTATAGCCGCCCTGCTAATGAGGTAGTCTAAAAGTTTTAAGCCTTAAATACATTTTTCTGCATCAAAACGAAAAAAAATAACTTATTTGGTAATGGTAAACTATTTGTTTAGTGACAAATATGTTTTTTTTGGACAGAAAGCAAAGATTTATTATCACACCACTAACAAATGTTCATCAAACAACGACTGCTGACAAGTGTTGTGTCTTCATGACAGGTGAACCTTGTTGAGTGGCTCAAAATGATGGTCGGACAGCGGAGATCCGAGGAAGTAGTGGATCCTAACCTTGAAGTTAAACCTAGTACTCGCTGTTTGAAACGCGCACTTCTGGTGGCCCTTAGATGTGTGGAGCCCGACTCTGAAAAACGGCCTAAAATGAGTCAAGTTGTTCGCATGCTTGAAGCTGATGAATACCCTCATCGCAATGAGGTGCACAACATGTGACCTTTTTTTTAATTCGTAACGGAATTCGTACTCAGAGTTTGTTATTTTTAGTTTAGGTATAACTGTCCATTATGACTTTCTACATACATTAAGAATCAAATGAATGTGGACACGAGGTACGTCCAGATTCATTCAACTTGTAATGTATGTAAAAAGTCACAATGAACAATTATTTAAGAACGGGGAGGGAGTAATTACTCAATCTAGGGCACACAAGAATTTAGACATGAGCTAAGTATTATATAAAACCGTTTCAGGACCGCCGGAACAGAAGAGATTCGCTGACATTAAGCACTGGATTTGATTCAGTGAAGGATGGTTGCAGTTCGACAGATGTGGAGAAACGGAGGTTAGATAACAGCATTCCTTAATGCGTTCGTTTTTTTGATGTTTTGATTCGAAGATTGAGAGAGAGAGATTGCTGCTTCGACAGATGATGACCACAAAGTACAATGTTGTTTTGTTTAAGATTACTAGGCTTCCATTATTTTAAGTTTAATGTTGTATGATGCAGATAAAAAAGACCATTACTTTTGTACAGTTTAACTTTTTTTTTGCGTTTCCTTGTCCTTTGAATTCACAATGACGAGCAATTTAGCCCGAGTTTTTTATCCTTTTAGGTTTTAAATTTCTTTTTTCTTTTCGGCATTGCGACTATCATATATAATTAAGCTAATATGTATTGTGTTTATGGTGTTGATTGTGTTGGCGTTTTCTCGTCCTTGAAGGGTCGTTTTTTAGAAGAAAAAAAGGTTTGTACTAATAAAGTTTACATTTTTCATTCCATATTTTTTGCGGATAGAATATGTAGCTCATAATATTTCTATATTTTTTTTTAGCATTAAACTTTGTAAAAGTCAAAAGGTAACTTATATACTATGTGGATTTTTTTTATGTTTGAAAATAGCTTAGGTCTTCTGAGTAGTGTGAAAGAATCTATTCTTTCTTTGGAGTTGCAAGCTCAGATAGACCTAAGTAATTGATGCAAAGACAACTTAGAAAGATTCCTTTTATAATAGGCCCCACCCTCAACGGCTAGCACTAATCATTGCTGACTGCCTTCCCAACTTTGGATTGGCTCTAAAACATCTGTTTCCTAATTCAATCATTTCTAGGGGTACCCCATAAAATACACTCCAAAATGTACAATAAAGATATGGAGTATATTTTAATAACTCACACCGGCATAATATATTAGTATGATTAAAACATGTGCACTAATATATTGTGCATGTGTGAATTATTGAACTGGCATTACATTGGCACCAATGAAAGTGTACATCTGTAGTGTATAATTTGGAGTATAGATTTTGGAGTATAAGTAGCTTAATTCTTCCTAATTTTTACGCGTTCTTACAGAAATTCACAGACACATAATGGTATCAAATGTTTGTAATGTTTATAAGAAGGCGGTGTTAGAACTTATTTCAAGGTTGAAACACACTTGACATTTTTCTAGAAACATTTGGTAATACTAATGCTTTCATATTAATGTGATCAATTTATATTAAAAAGACAAAAAAAGTCACCTGAAAGTCTATAAAATTTTTAAAGAAGAAAAAAGACGCGTCCTAAACATCATATCTATCTTATTATAAAGTAAGAGCGAAATTAGAAAACCATATTAAAATTTTCTATTTTTAGAGTGTTTTTTGTCAGAGTTTTATGAGACGAAAGAAGCATACAAATTTCAAAATGAGACTTTTCAGTTCAAGTAGCATTTGTGTCCTTTCTATGTGAATGAGACTAATGTGGCTATGAGTCTTTGACTCTTAGGTACAAAAAATGAATGTCCGGCGCCACAACGGTCAAATACTTAGCTCTATTTCTTTAGTTCTTTCTTTTTTACAAAATTGGGATTTTTAATGAATGAAAGTACATAGTATATTATTGGATGCATTGTCGGTCTTGTGTCAATGATTTTGGAAGTTGACTTGTCTTATTATGTTATATTCACTCTCTCTACAATTCGACCGAAATGAACATGAGATGTATGAAGTGTACCTTAGCTGGTGCACACCCTGCTTCTCACAGACACACACAAACAATTGTTGTCTGTGTGCGTCTGTGAGAAGCGTGTTGTACACATGATGTACACCACCTGGGTTTTCCCAATGAACGTATATAAGTACTCCCTACTATATAGTGACTCGAACAACTCTATTCTATGTGTTGTTTATACTTTAATAAACTATTCTCTCCGTCCCAAATTAAATTATCTGTTTACTATTCATAAAGTTAAACTTTATTCATTTTTTCTTTATTTCCGTTAGTCATTTGATAAAATAATATAGTATGTCACTACTAGTTTGTAGATCTTTTGATGTAGCTTTTAAGTATGTAATTTTTATTTTTTAACTCTACACTATTTTCATATGAAATGATTTGAAAAAATAATTATACTCAGTCATCGTAAACCAAAAAAGATAATTTAAAATAGGACGAAGGGAGTACACGGTGGCCCACAACCTATTTTATATCATTCCCAAAGACATCTGACTTACAATTCAGTACGACACGGATCACTCAAACTTGGACAGGCCCATTCAGGCGCCCTCAAAAAGATGGTTATAGACAAGTATATGTACTCATATGGGCCGGCTTCTCTCGCCATTTAACATTGAATGGGCTTCTAGACTGTACTGTTCGTTACGTTGAATTGATTTGAGGCCAAAAGTTGATTTGTTTAATAAAATTGTTAAGATAATTTTTTTTTGAGCAAAATTGTTAAGATAATTAACTACACTATATACCAAAAGAATGACTATTTTATGCAATATGTTTTACGTGATATTATATTACTCCGTATTATTTATTTAGCAATTCTTTTTAATGTGCGATGGACAATAATAAAAATGTATTCAGTTGACAAAATGTTCGTATAATTCTTTGTTCATTTTAGAAATATATACACGGGTTATTATTGTTGTTGTTATTATTAGATAGGGATGGGCCGTAAGTTTAAACATAAAATCTGAGCCCGACAGTTAAGTATGTGTTCTCTCATTTTCACTGGACCGTTCGGCCCATATTCCAAAACCAATGATCAAACCCGTTATTTTACGAGCGAGGCCAAGACCTGAGAATTCATCATGCACATCTGATGAATTCTCTAAGGCGTACGTAATCAGTTACGTACCATACATCATACAATCTATATATATATACTCTCAAAAACTCTTTATCTTTTCTTTTTTTTTGTCCCACGAAATTTTTCCATTTTCTGTTAAAAAATTGCTTTTATCATTGCTAATTCTTAATCAAAATATCACATCATACCTTTTATTACTCCCTCGGTTCCTTCAGATTCTTCCTGGTTCGCATAACGATATTTGACTAAAGTTATTTTAAAATTATCTTATATTAAAATTGGCATTGAATTAGAAAATAAAAATTATATCCGTATATACTTAAAAAAACTACAATAAAGGTCTTCAGAACTAGAGGTGAGATAACTATATTATTATACCAAATTGGCAACGAAAATAAGTAAATAAAGCAGATTGAATTTAACTCTGCTAATAGTACCGTGGAAGAACCTGAAGAGACGGAAGGAATAATAATATACTCATCACATCGTACTTTTATCTATTACATCAAGAAAATTTTGGATAATCAACACAAAATTATACTACAAATTTTCTAAAAGTCAAAAGAGAAACATATTCGGAATCGGATTCTTCGTACATACAACACGACCATGCACCAACAATTCTTTATTTTTTTTATTTTGAGTTAAAAATAAAAAAAACTAAATTAAATTACACCTCAATCGATGATCTCATGGATGGTGATGATGTTGACGATGTTCCTGTTTGGGCAGCAATGACGCCGTCACGTTAGACATTTCCTGGAACAGGCTGAACTCGAACGGAGTTTGTGGCATTTGGCGGTTGATGCCGTTAATAATACCGCCGCCGGCGCCGCCGCGATGACCTTCCTCCTCCTGGTGGTGGTTAATAATGTAAGGATCATGAGGAGGGAAGTCCGCGGGGTGGAGCAGGAACTGGGGCGGCGGGGCTGCTGAGGTGGGCGGCGGGGGGAGGGACAAGAATGTGGCGGCGGCGGCGGCGGCGGTGGATCCACGGAGGGTGGAAGGGTAGTGGTGGTTGTGCTGTCCTTCGTAGGTGGTGATGACGGTGGTCGGGTCTTGGTAGGATCTCTCCACACGCTTCTTCACTGTGCATTTTTGACTGGTGCATTTGTAATAGCTCCTGTCATAATAAGTTGGGTGGGTACTTTTTTCCCTTAATTTTTGGGACTTTTGATGGGACAATATACCCTTAACATCAGGAATACCTATATATGCTACACAAAGACAAGAATATGTACCCTCACACGGTCAAGTTTGACTTTGTCAGGTTAATAAAAAAAAATGAATAAAGTCATTGATTAGAATTGTGCATTTAAATTGAATTTGAAAAAAAATAAATAAATAAAAATTAAAAAATGTACGTACCAGCTTGTACTTTTTCCATTCTTGAAATAATTTTATCTTGTTCTAATGTAAAAGAGAGATTAGAAAATAATATAAAAAATTAAATATTTTTAGGGTTGCTTTTTGTGTTTAAAAAGTTTTATGCTCCATCCTGTCCTAAAAACATGGAAGTTATTGATTTTTAAGAGATTTAAGGGAAGTGTATTTTGGTATTGAATTTTCAAAAAAGTGTTTTGATGTGATGAGTAAAAGTAAGTTTTGATGGGTAAGTTATTAGTAAAAAGGTATGATGTGATAGGTAAGGTATGAAAAAGTAAGCATTAAAAGTAAATTTTTAATAGAAAAGAAAGTTTTCAAGGACACAAAGAATAAGACATAGAAAGTATATTAAATTGTATTTGAAACAAAGACGTGCATGATTTATGCCGATTATAAAAGTGGGAAAAGGTTAAAACCTGGACCTGGGTGATAACACACACACACACACGATTTAACATGCCACAAGAGCCCTAAATCATGGCTTAATTGACATGGGGAGTAGATCAGATCTGCCATGAATTTCTCTAATTAAGAATGACAATAATGGCTGAGAGTTGAGACCCTAGCTAAAAACATGATACTCTCTATATAGATCCCTCTTTAATAATGTAGGGAGTATTTTGTCAAGTTTTATACACTTCCATAACATAGTACACACTCAAAAGTGACAAAACATAGAATTATAAATGCATGCTTTTAATATGATTAGATTCATTTTGAAATATAGTTTTCAAATATATTAGTTTTTGTCCAACGGCTTGGTATCCGACGTCCCAGAGTCTCTAATGTGCCTTGTTCAAAAAATGTGATTCAAATCCTCGGTAAAACATTGTGGTTTATTTAAATGTTACTGGAATCCCTCTATGTATAAATATTACTCCCTCCGGTCCTAAAAACATGAGAGTTATTGATTTTTAAGAGATTTAAGAGAAGTGTATTTTGATATTGAATTTCCAAAAAAGTCCTTTGATGTGATCGGTAAAAATAGAATTTGATGTGTAGATTATTAGTAAAAATGTAAGATTTGATAGGTAGGGTATGAAAAAGTAATGGGTAAAAATAACTTTTTAATAGAAATAAGAAGTATTTTTTTTGGGACAATTGAAAAAATAAAGGAGAAAATTTCCAGGGACGGAGGGAGTATTAGCCAAATATGGGTATCAGAAACTTAGAAAAATCAAATTTTAAAAACATTTTTGGACAAAAGGAGAACTTTATAAATTGACTTTTAGAGTCAAAATTTATTAATCTTCACCATGATTTATACTAAATTTATATTGAGTTACTCGTATAATTTGACTTAAACATCATTAATATGATTGAAAATGTAGTTTTTAAATACTCATACTCCGTATATTATTATATTTATACCATTTAAAAAAAAATTCTGGATAGAAGTAAAAAATACTACCTCTGTCCCGTGAAACATTTCCCCTTTCTTTTTTTATCCGTCCCACAAAACACTTCTCATTTCTATTAAAAAGTCACTTTTACCCCTTACTTTTTCATACCCTAACTATCACATCATACCTTTTTACTAATAATCTATCCATCAAATCATACTTTTACTCATCACATCAAAGGACATTTTTGGAAATTCAATACCAAAATACACTCCCTTAAATCCCTCCTAAAAAGCAAATGTCCCATGTTTCACGGGACGGAGGTAGTATGAGAATATCAAAATAGAAGTCATAAGTCTTTAAAGACAAAAATAAGAGTATAATTAATGGCAAAGTGGTATAGGAGTATGCGTTGACAGTGTGATGAAAAAGTGATGGCAGTGTAATATATTAATGTGATTGGTCAACCTTTGGCAAAGTGCAACGGCACTCTAGTGGCCATCAACGACAGATGACAGGATGGCGGTGATATTTTGGCAGTTACAATATGCCAACGTGGTGAGTTATCTACTACGGAGTATAAGAATGATAGTGTGAACTTTTAGTTTGGTTTTAAATACTTATGACTTCTATTTTTAGTTTTTTCATAATTTTTTACTCATATCTAGTTAGGGAGTTGTCCCTAACATTTATTTGTAGTTAATTACTTATATTAATGCTTAAAATATAGCACTAAAAGACCATGAAAGTAAAAATGTTCTTCCTGCTTAGGAAAATAATTCCTATATTGACTTTGGTAAAAAATAAGGAAGAAATATTTAGAGTTGACTTTCCAAATTTGCCCTCGATGTGATTGTTAAAAGTAGGAAATGATGAGTAGATTATTAATGAAAAAATTATGATGTGATAAATATAGTAAGAGTTCGTATGAATAAAAGTAATTTTTTGATAGAAAAGGTGAAAGTGTTTTAATGAAAGAGAGAAAAATGAAAGAGAGAGAATTTTGGTAAAAGAATAGGGTAATTAAACTTTAATTTCAAATTATCAAAATGTATAGTACTCCTTATAATCCATTTTTACACAATTGAAGATAATACTCACTTTGTCTCATAATAAATTATTCACTTTGAATCACGTACAAAACCTTGTAATTTTACAAATAATTTTATTTATAAATTATTAAAATAAAAAATGTATATATTTAAAGACTAATTCAAAATTTTTACGGAATAAGAAGTGATAAAAATATTTTATATTACTCGGGTATCAAATAGTCAATGAAATCATTTAAGGACGGAAAGAGTATATTCATACAGGCATAATTAAGACCCAACCCATCACAACCAAAAGCTCATTTATAGAGAAATGTTACCTTTGATTTTTGTAAGAGGCTTCTCCACGGAGATGCACACAAATATGTGTAATTAAGAAGGCCAATAAGAGCATGTAAATGTATATTGCCTCATAATCTACGGATTAGAAGCTAGCTAAGCAAGTCAAGGGCAATAAGAAATTAGGCTAAAGAATTGAATTTCTTCTTTCTTTTCTTCCTAATAAACTCAAACTTACTTTTTTTGGGGGTAGAATTCAAGGAGAAAGAGCTTTACAAAATAGGGAGGGAGTACAAATTTGATCAAACATTTATACTATATTTGGTTCAAAGAATTTGAAAGAGAAAAGAAAAGAAAATGAGAAAGAAAACATTTTTTTATTAGAGAGGAAAAGAAAATGAAAAAGCCAAACGTATATGGAAAATCAAATTTCTCCCATTTTCTGAGAAACTGAGGATAGATCATTATCTTTTTGTTTTTTTCTAAATTTCTTGAATCAAAGATAGTGTTAAGAAGTTTACATACGTTTAGAATCATCTGTGATAAAATCAGAAACATTTTTAAGGACAAAGATAATACTCCCTCCGTCCCGGAATATTCGTCCAATTTTGACTTTTGGAACTGTTCATCTAAGCACTTTGACTCATCAAATTTTCTCAATGTGCAAGCCTAAATATAGTCATGTGTGATCTTGTTTAATTTGTCTTAACATATACTCCCCCCGTTCTCAAAAACACTTCCTCTTTCATTTTTTTCACTTCCAACAAAACACTTCTCCTTTCTATTAAAAAACCATTTTTACCCTTACTTTTTCATACCCTACCTATCACATCATACTTTTTCTCTAATAATCTATCCATCACATCTTACTTTTACCCATCACGTCAGGGGCAAAATTGGAAATCAACTATAATTTAACACTTCCTTATTTTTGCCCCCAAATCAAATGGGAAGGGTTTTTCCAAACGGAGGGAGTAGATTATTAATATATAATTTCTATAATTTTTTAATATACAAATTACAAGATAAAATGGATTAAAGAAGTGTATTGGACGGTGTGTAAAAATGAAAATGGACAAATACTCTGGGACGAAGGTAGTACGATGTTAATATATACCTGGGAAAGGGGCTATTTTTGACGGCCTTCTGACCATATTTTCTCCATCTAAATCCGTCTTCGAGATTATCAATTTCGCTCTTAGTAAGGAAGGCGTAACGAGGTTCCCTTAGCCTTTTCTCCTCTTTCTTCTTTCCCTTGTTATTGTTGTTGTTCCTGAAATGTGGTATGTTAGAACTAATTAAGGCATATAGCTAGCTAATTCATCATCAAATATACTCCCTCTGTCCACCATAGATCTTCCCAATAGCCCTTTTTCTTTGTCCATAATAGATCTTCTCATTTCATTTTTTAACAAGTAAAATACCACAACTATCCCCACTTACTTTATTTATTACACCTCACCCACCTCATTTAATACACTCCACCCATTTTTCATTAAGGGTATTATGGTAAACTTTCACCTTTTTTCAACTCTTCTTAAAAACCACCAAAAGTCAAAATGAGAACATAGGGAGTATATATAGTAACCCTACACAATATGGGCCAAATTTAGGGTTTCTGTGTATATCTTATCAATGGCTTCATGTAGCATATGTATCATTGACCAAATCCATTAATTGAACTGTGATTCCAACCAATAGGCAATATAATTTCCATTTGAATGAGTTACTCCCCCTTCCTAAATTACTTTGTTCTTTTCTTTTACATACGGACTACGTTAAAAATTGAATGAATGTAGATGTGCATTACGTCCGTATTCATTTCATTCTTAATGTATCGCTATTTATAAAAGTAGTCAAAAACACTTTGAGATTTGAGCTAGGAGAAATCAATGGGCAATTAATTTACCTAAATAGACTTCAACAAAAATTTAACACCCCTTTGACATATACTACAAGAAATTAAAAGGAGAACTGAAATGAAAATAATTAAAAAAAGAACAAATAAAAACCCTACACTGTTTTCTTGGACTTTACTTGATCTCTAGCTCCACATGAATCTTTAACAATAATGTCTGGGCTTTTCTTGTCAATCTTCTCCTCTCCCTCTTCTCCTCCTCCTCCTCCAAGCTCGCTTGAAGAAGAAGTCCCATCAGCAGCTGCCTGCGCAGGCAGCTGCTGATGGTCAGAGGAAGAGGAGGGAGGACAGACGGCGGCGGCAGGGGGCTCGGGCGGGGGCCCCGGGAAAAACATCTGGAAATCACTGGAGAAAGCGGTGGTGAAGTCTATGTAAGGGGAAGGATCGAATAACTCTTGATGAACAAAAAAATTATGGCTGGGAGAACTAAGAGAGGAAGCTGCGGCCGGCTTCCGATCGTCGTCGTTTTCGTCTCCGAAGAAAGGGAATATGTTGTTTCCTGCTCCCATGTGGTCGTGGAAGAAATGGTTTTCCGACATAGATAGATCTAAAATCACACGGCCTGGCCTGGCCTTGGGTCTGCACACTTTTGGTAAATAAGCCTAGAGAGAGAGAGAGAGAGAGACTAAGGGATTTTCCAAAGTTTCTTAGTTTTTTAAGAAGATGAAAGTGAAGCCTATAGAGAGAGAGAGAGAGAGAGAGAGATGGGTGTGTGAATATATAAAAGGTAGAAGAGACTTTCAGGTCAGCTTCCTCCCTCCATTAAAGAGAGAAAGAAGATCAGACTTTTTATGCTTTATTAGCTGCCTAGAAGTTACTCAGGGTCAGGGTTAGGGATACAACCGGTTGTCTGGTTATATATTCCGTAAGTCTGACCCGAGTTAGTTCGGGCACGGCTTTTATTTTAGTAGATAAGGTTGGGATTTTTTATTGTTTTGGTTTAGATTTGCTGAAGTTTGGTCGGGTCGGTTATGCCCGGGTTCAGGGTTAGATTATCTTCTCTATTCAATGTGAAAAATCTTAATATTTTTATTGTTCTTTTAGAAGTATTTGTCAAGTTACTAGTTTACTACATACGGAGGGAGTATTTATCAAATGAGCTCTAGAATAAAAATGTTCAAGAAATACTTCCTTAGTCCATAAAGTCTATTCCTTTTTCACTTTTAGAAAATTTAGGGAATGATAATTTTATGTTGACTTTCTAAAAACAAATTTGATGTGATGGGTATACTATTACTTCCTCTGTTCGTAAAAACAATATTCTTTCATTTTTTTCACTTCCAACAACACTTTCACTTTCTATTTAAAAACCACTTTTACCCCTACTTTTTCATAGCCTACCTATCACATCATATTTTTATCCATTATCCATCACACCAAAGGCAAAATTGGAAGTCAACTATAATTTAACACTTCTTTATTTTTACATTTGGTCAAAATAGGAATTCTTTTTTAGAACGGATGAAGTAGTAAAAAGATATGATATGACGTACATGTACTATAAGAATTAGTATAGATAAATATGAATTTTTAATAGAATTGAAAAAAGATTTTGTGGGACAAGAAAAAAAGAAAAAAAGTCTATGGGATATAATTTATTTCGAAGAATTATATCACCATGTTGGTTCTGCACTCACTAGCTTAGATCTGACTTTTGTATAAAATAATATCCAATAACTTTATTAAGGTACTTCATCCGTCCCATTTTAAATCGTCTGTTTTGACTTTTGAACATATTTATGGAAAAGAAAAAATAAAGTTGATTTTTCGAAATTGTCATTACTTTTTAGGAGGGGTGACGATGAATGAGAAGATAAGGTGGAGAAGAGTGACTTATTTTAGGGATAGTTTAGGTATTTTACTCTTAAACGTTTATGATAATAAGTAACAAACAACTTATTTTGGGACAGAGAAAAAAGGCAAACAGACAATTTAAAATGGGACAGATAGAATATGTTTTAATGGCATTCAACATTATATTCGTGAAATATCAATATATAAGCAATGCTAGGGGTACACCAAAGGTATACCCCATTTGTCTCACACTCCCTTCTCCACCATCCATTTTTATCTACTTTTTATTTATTTTATTTTATTTTAAATTCTTGCTCATTTTTGTGGTAATGGAGAGGGTGTGAGACAAATGTGGTACACCTTTGGTGTATAAAGGTGTACACCTAGCATTTTTCAAGAAAATTTTAGGGGTTCTGTAATTGACACTGTGAGAGTGTTTGGCAGCACGATGCTTTTAACAATTTAGCTTCTGCTTTGAGTGAAAGTGATTTTTCTCTGTTTGGCATGTCAGCCTCTGCTTTTCACCAACATTATTTTGTACAAGGAACACCGTTTCGGAGAAGCAGGTATGAGGTGCTTTTGCTTTCATCTTTTGTAGAAATCACTTTATCCATAAGCTAATCACTCCCAAACACCCTCTACATATGTTAACCACGTGGGTTTTGAACTCGTGACCTCTAGGTCATCAAGGCTCTAATACCATGTCAAGGAACCAACTCAACCACAAGCTCAAGCTTGTGGCTCATGAATGATTGTTATATATATACTCTAACAATATATATATATATATATATATATATATATATATATATATATATGTATATATTTCCAATTTATGTTTGAAAACGAATATTATGATTTTAATTTTTTTTAAAGTATTGACTCTATTGCAATATACTCCCTCCGTCCCAAAAAGAATGGGACGGTTTGACTTTTTGGGAAATTAAGGGAGATATATTTTGGTATTAACTTTCCAAAAATACCCTTGATGTGATGGGTAAAAGTATGATGTGATAGGTAGATTATTAGGAAAAAGGTATGATGTGATAGGGAGTGTATGAAAAAGTAAGAGGTAAAAGTGATTTTTTAATAGAAATGTAACGGACTTTATGAGACGCAATTTTTTCTAAACGTAACAAACTTTTTGGGACGGAGGGAGTATATAGTATCTGTATATATTTTTTTCAAACTAATAACGCACAAAGAGTCAACACTTTTGCCTCCGTTGGGACTCAAACCTGGGTGAACTTCTCCATGAATTCTGAAGAGTTGGGTACCTACCACTCAAGGCCGGAGAGAAATTCTATTATGATACGGAGTATTAAATTTGTGTTACAGTTCAATGAATTTTTTGTTTTGGCTAAGTTATGTTCACAGGTTGGAGATAATTAATTGATCAAACTTTGATGAAAATTGAAAAAAAGAAAAGAAGAAAGATAGGACGAAGTTTGTATTAAAAAAATAAAAGCGGATAAAATTAGTCAAAATATTAAAGGACCATGCTACACTTACACCAAAAAATATACCTCATTTGTACAACACAGGTTTGCACAAACATTTCGATGGTTTACACCGACACAAGTGTTGGTGCGTTAATAAAAATTCACACGGACACAAATGTTGGTGCGTTTAACAAAAATTAGTTTTACACCAACACAAAGTGTTGGTGCAAAACTGCGGGGTACAAATTGGGGTACAAAACTTGGGGTACACATAGCATAATCCAATATTAAAATCTCGAGGCTTGACATTTGTTGCCAAGAGAATTTTTATAGAGTCCGATCATATCATGATTGAAGCCCAATGATTGCGTTAGTGCTGCCCAAAACAATTACTCCGTACTTCTTCAGGATTTAATTCTTTTATTTGTGTTATTTATTCGAAGGTATTGCTACTATTTATACTCAATAAAAGAAATTATGATATTGCAAATTGTCTAAAATAAAAAATGAGAGACAAACTAAACTAAAATATTTATTCCACATTTTAAGATCATTTCTTAAATTGATTGTTTTTAGAAAGTAAATAATTAAATCCAAACGAAGAAAACTCTAAATATGGACCTCCCATGCATAAATTAAACATTTAGTGCACGTTTTCTTCGTCTAATCTTATGAAATTTGATTTTATTTTATAAAGGTCTTATTTGATCTAATCTTAACTGATTTAATCTGTAACTAGTTATATTTTAAAATTTATTTTATCTAGTTTGGTCTGATCAAATTTCAATAAAAATATATCATATGAGTAATTAATAAAAATAAGTTGAATACAAAAAAAAAATAATGTATAAAACGAAATTAATGCTTGATTGATTCCTTCTATTTTTTTTCCCAGAATTATTTCTTTTACTCCAAACAACTTTTACCATGCGTGATTTAATTGAAAGGCTAGAAATACAAAAATCAGACAACATCTATAAATTGAACCGACAAATATTAGGGAGTACAAAAAAGAGGTGTTAAATATGATGGCCATAGAGATAATGGTTAGAACATAAATAAGTATTTCTAAGCCACAACCATAACCTTGAACTTTTGGTTGAATTGGTTCTTTGAAATGGTATCAGAGCAATCCGACTGTGACGGACGAACGAGCTTAGTTCACATAACAGGGAAGATTTAGGGATTTCAAAAAGAAGATGCAACGAGGATGTTCCATTCCTAAGTGGGGGTGAATGTAATGCCCTGATTTAAAAAAATAATTGGATTGGGGAAAGAAAAGACTCAAAAAGGATTGATAGTACTACTCATACCAAGAAGGTACATCTTCTTTTCGATAGCTCATCACCTAGAAGCTCCAAAGTTAAGCATGCTTGACCTGGAACAATTTTAGAATGGATGACCCATTGGGAAATTTCTTGGGCACGCACAAGTGAGGACAAAGTGCACGGGAAAGACATGTGTTGGTTTGTGGGGTCAGTCTACAATCCTATGAGCGGACCCTTACGATCAGGGTGGGGGCCGGGGTGTTACAAATGGTATCAGAGCCTAGTTTTAAGAAAATTAAAGCTTCACGTGTAAAGCTCGAAAAAGACTACGTCTGCACATGAGAGAACATATTAGAATATAAATAACTCTTCTTGGATCACAACCAAAAACTTGAATTTTTGGTTGAATTGGTTCTTTTGACAATAATTAACCACGGCTCTTTGGTGGTTAACCCACAATTTATTACGGTGAAAGTAAAAGTAACAAATTAAAAGATGAAAAGAAAGAAAGGCTTTCAATTTTGTTACGGTGGACATCATAATGACATCTCACGCGGAGAGATAACTTTCGTTTCAGTTTTAGAATTCGTGTGGAATGGACTCTGATCTGATCTCTCGTGCATATAAATTACTGTGTCATGCTTTCCTAAATTTACTGCGGAACAAGTTAAAGTTTGGTTTTTTTTGTTTTTGCTTAAGTTAAAGGTTGTTTAATTTGCTTCAAAACTCCATTCACCACCCCATCGTCAATTTCTCATTTAATTCATATAGCACCAACGACCTCTTTGAGAACAATGTCACAAGTTAGCGTTAACATTTTGAAAAGATTATCAATGGACATTGTTTATTGTTATCATTTTTAAAATTAATCTGCACTGATGGGTGTATTCCACCCACGACCGGTCAAAGAAGAAGGCCAAATCGTTGACCGGTCAATCTCGAGTGTTTTGGAAGGGAGACTTAAATCGTCAGCAAAACGACATATCATCGGCCAAAATATGACCGGTATACTTCACAAAAAAGTATACCGGTCAACTACGTTGTCGTCCTATTTATTCCAGACTTCGATGAATTCACCCCTCGGAGATTACCCGGTGTAGTTTCTGAGGTTGGAAAGTGTCGGCAGAAGAGGATCTGCGAGGGCTTGGCGTGTAGCGACCCGTGTCAGTAGAGGACAACTGGAGATGCTGAAGAATCCATCCAAGGCGCTACTCGACAAAGGGAATGATCCCCCTCACAAGGCGACAAGGCAGCTCGAGGACGAAACCAGTCACCTCGCACCACATCAGCAGCATGCCCCCACGTGGGCGCACGTGGTCCTGTCCCCTTAGCCTAGTATAAATACTCATGTAAACCTCAGAAAGAGGGATCCGAATTCATTCTCTCTAAACTCCCTTGTAAAAGCACCCGTGCATTCTCCGTTATAANGGTTGGAAAGTGTCGGCAGAAGAGGATCTGCGAGGGCTTGGCGTGTAGCGACCCGTGTCAGTAGAGGACAACTGGAGATGCTGAAGAATCCATCCAAGGCGCTACTCGACAAAGGGAATGATCCCCCTCACAAGGCGACAAGGCAGCTCGAGGACGAAACCAGTCACCTCGCACCACATCAGCAGCATGCCCCCACGTGGGCGCACGTGGTCCTGTCCCCTTAGCCTAGTATAAATACTCATGTAAACCTCAGAAAGGGGGATCGGAATTCTTTCTCTCTGAACTCCCTTGTAAAAGCACCCGTGCATTCTCCGTTATAATATAAATTGGGCTACAGGTGTTCCACCTAAAGTCCTTCCGGTCAATCTACGAGTTTTTACCTTTCTTACTTTACCAAATCAAGCAAACTATTCTAGACCCGGTCTAGTATAGTTTGACCGGTCAAGTAATTTACACCATCATTTTTGGCGCCACCTGTGGGACCGTTAAGGTTTCTTCTCCTAAACACAAACCTACCCACCAAAACACCACTCGAAATGTCTTACAGCCAACAAATCAACGCTACTTCCGCACAGGTGCAAGCCACCAATGAGGGCGCCAGCATCCTTGTGGCTGCTACCATACCGGTCATTTCAGCCCCGGTGTTGCCTCTAGGTCTGAGCTCTGTCCCGACGGCCAGCGTGATCAGTCCCTTCGCGACCCTCGTCCCTTCCGCTGGACCGAGGGTCACGTTCCCACCAAGCATGGCTCAGTTCATGAACGACCCGGCCAACCTACAAGCCATCCAGGGCTTTGGCCAGGTTATGGCCATGTGCCAGCAGAACGGGGGGATGCCTTTCCTCCCTGGTATGTTCCCATTCGCCCTTCCAGGCGCGGGGACCATGCCCCTATAAGCTCCGATGGCGGTGACGACGTTCCAGACGCCGATGCCGCAGCCATCACCTTTCCAGCCCCAACTGGTCAGCACCATGGCCCGTGTCAACTTGACCGACGCACTTAACGTCGCAGGGCCATCGCGTCCCCCGCAAGCTACGGATCCGCAGGTCACTCCTGATGGTCATTGCGTCTCAATTGAGAGTGATGACGGCGATTGGGACATCCCGAGGGCCCACAAGAAGAAGAAAGGAAAAATCATCCGGCCAGCGACCTCCCGAAACTCCGCCTTCGAAAGGTTGGGGGATAGGGAGGAAGGCCAGAGGAAGTCAGCCAAGCAAAGGCTGGGGCAGAGCGTTGCCCATGTCAGCGCGTTCGCCCGGCTAGGCGAGGTGCGGGAGGCCGAGCCTGCCTGCACCCGGCGCTCCCGGTCTAACCGGCAGGAGCCAGCGAGGACGAGGGCCTCCCACCAGGAAGGGGAGGCAGAGAGCCAGCCCAGGTTACTGGTGGCGAACCGGTTAACCATCCCAAACGACCGCGTCCAGCAGATGGAGGCAAAGCTGGAAAGGCTGGAAAAGAAGGTCGGAGAGAAGAATGACCGGGACAAACCCCTGGCAGGGTCCCCGTTCACCGCAAGGGTCCATCTGACACCTTTCCCGCGAAAGGTCAAGATCGACGCCCCCAGATTCACCGGGAAGGAAGATCCGGAAATCCATATGGACTCCTTCAACCAGAGTGCGACCATGAACGGTTGCACCGATGAAGAAAAGTGCCTTCTTTTCTTCTAGACCTTGCGGAACCGAGCCACTGAATGGTTCAATAAGCTTCGCCCGGGAAGCATTGATTCATTCAGTGATTTGGCCTCAAAATTCAAGGCCAAGTTCCAGGAGAATTGTACTAAGAGGAAGAAATTCACCTATCTTAGTACAGCCGGGCAAAGAGAGTCTGAGAACTTTACTCAGTTCCTTACCCGGTGGAAGGAAGAGGTGGACAAGGTGGAAGAGATGGATGACAAGACCGTCCTCTCCCTCCTCTTGAATGGCTTGCGTGCTGGGGAACTATACAAGGAGTTCTGCCGGAAACCCCCAGCCACGTGCCAAGAGGCCTACCATACTGCGTGGGAGTTTGCTGAGGCTGAAACCCAACTCCGGGCAAAGAGAGAAGCTGAGCATGGTCACAAGTCCAAGCCGGTGCAAGTCAAGAAGGAAGAAGCACCGGGACCTAGCCGGCCGAGGCACCACTATGACCCGGTCATCCGAGTGGTCAATACGGAGGAATGCCAAGAAGTCCG